GTGGAGGAAACGACAGGGTCAGAGGAATAACACGCGGGACACGGGTGAGGGCTGTGGCCTGGTCTGGGTGAGCTTGTCCACAAACAGCCCCCATGGTGACCCCGGCTCCCCTCTGGCGGCGCTGCTGGGAGGACCCACAAAAGTGACACTACAACTCGTCGCTTCCTAAAACCCAATAATGCATAACAAAGAAGGGCTCATCTCTGTGCATCCCGAATGGATCATGAATGTCTATTAAAACGTACAGCACACCGCACCGCCAGTGAGATGCCGCTTTCTTCCTTTAAAATGATTTTTTAAAATATTTACTCTTTGATTTAATCAATATATCATTAACAAAATGACAACAAAATGTTGCTGCTGTTACATATGATAGGACGAGTTATAAAGAACGTCTACACCTAAAATCACTTTAGGACGTGTTTCTCGGGCATCGTGGGATGGAGAGTTCAAGGCAACACGGGATGAAATAAATTTGCGGGTAGGCACGGATTTTGTGAACAAGAATACAGGGAGTTGCTGCCCTTTTTATTGTCTCGGGTCAGAGGAAACGTGACTTTTTTACATACGGTATAACCAGTTGAACCATCATTTCCTGGTCATATACTGTCAGGTTCTCAAACCTGTGAGGACTTTTAGGTGTTTAAGGAAAAGGCTCAAGGAAAGGAACACTGACGAATTTTTAGGCCCTTTAAGGGCCGGCGATCCGAGATTTCCCGCGGAATGAAGGGCTTGCTCGCGTCGGGGGCGGGATGCGCAGGTGCGGGAGGAAGGACGCGCAGGTGCGGGGGAGGAGCGCGCAGGTGCGGGAGGAAGGACGCGCAGGTGTCGGAGCAGGGACACGCATGTGCGGGGGGAGGGACGCGCAGGTGCGGGAGCAGGGACGCGCAGGTGCGGGGGGGGGAGGGACGCAGGTGCGGGAGGAGGGATGCGCAGGTGCGGGAGCAGGGGCTCACGTGCGGAAAGAGGGATGCGCAGGTGCGGGGGAGGGACGCAGGTGCGGGAGGAGGCGGCACGGCCTGGGCCAGCGGTCTGTCCCCGTGCAGACCTCGGGTTCTGACCCGGGCAGCCGGACTGCACGCCCCACCAAACGCCAGAGGAGGCGGGTGGTGCTTGGGGCCTGCGGGGTGTCCTGTGTCCAGTCCAGTCCCATTTCCTCCCCGGCATCTCGGGTCTCAGGGGCCGCTGGTGGGTCTGCGGGCGCCCGGGCACCTCAGGCAGGGCGACCACCGGGCCTGGTCCCCGCCGTCGGACCGCTCGCTCCGCCGGCCTCGGCCCCGGGACACAGGGACACCGTCAGGCCCGGGGTGGGGGCACCAAGGGCGGGAGGCACTAGCAGCGCTCGCCTCTTGTGGCCTCGGCTCGCCCCGCCCCGTGCTTCCGTCGCCCCCTCTTCTTGGGGGGCCGCCTGGGCTTGTTTTGCGGTTTTGCCCGCTGCACTTTCTGGCGTGGTGGCTCCCAGCGCGCACACCTGTGCATGCCCTCGGCACCTGGTGGCTCCCAACGCGTGCACCTGTGTGTGGCCTCGGCACCTGCTTAGGGCGGGTGCTGCGCTGCGGAACAGCACCCGAGAGGACCGTGTGCACCCAGGGACCTGTCACCCGCGGGGGGATCCCAGACAGTCAACCCGGGATCAGGCCACCCCGAAGCTCACCGCGTGGCAGTTTCGTGAAGAAGGAGCTGACCATCCAGAACTTGGAAACCACCGCTGCAGGTGGTGTCAGCTCCACGGAAAGGCCTGTCCCACCGAGGGGCCCCGGGTGCCCTCGCCGGTGGAGGGGAGCGGGTCACAGCCCCTCCACGGAGGACAGCCGGGCACACCCCCTAGGGAAATGGAACAAAGTTTACTTGAAACGGCAGTGGGATCAAAGCCGTTACGGATCGCCCAGGTCCACGGTCCACCCGGATCCCCGGGCCCACAGTCCACCCGGATCCCCTGGTTCACAGTCCACCCGGATCCCCGAGTCCACAGTCCACCCGGATCCCCAGGTCCACAGTCCACCTGGATCCCCAGGTCCACGGTCCACCCGGATCCCCGGGCCCACAGTCCACCCGGATCCCCTGGTCCACAGTCCACCCGGATCCCCAAGTCCACAGTCCACCCGGATCCCCAGGTCCACAGTCCACCCGGATCCCCAGGTCCACAGTCCACCCGGATCCCCTGGTCTACAGTCCACCCGGATCCCCGAGTCTACAGTCCACCTGCATCCCCAGGTCCACGCTCGGAAGCCTGTTCCGAATCGGCCGTCCTGCGGGGATCTGCAGGTGCTGCAGCCTGAGAAAATGTCTACTTGGATTATGGGGTGAACCCTGGAGAATTTCCCGATACATTTTGTTACTTTTTATCCAGTTGTGATGAACATACAGGCCCTAGTAGCTTTGGGTGTGCAAGCTCATCACCCTAAGGTGCCCTTAATGCCCTTGACCCGCCCGCCTCCCTCTGCTGACCACCCACTTGTTCTCTGTGCCTACGAACCTGTCCATCTGTTTGTCTTTTTTCTCTGTTCATCTGTTGTGTGTCTTAAAGTGCACACATGAGTGAGATCATCTGGTGTTTGACTTTCTCCGACCGCCTCATTTCGCTCTGCATCATGCCCTCTAGCTCCATCCGTGTCATCGCAAATGACAAGATTTCATTCTTTCTGAGGGCTCGGTAATGTTTCAGTGTTAATGGGTACACGTGCGTGTGCACGTGTGTGTTCACCCCCTGCGCCCTCTTCATTCGTCCAACGATGGATGGACACTTGGGCTGCTTCCCTGGTCTTAGTTGGAGTAAATAATTCTGCGATAAACCTAGGCGTGGATGTCTCTTTTCAAATTAGGGTTTTTGTTTTCTTTGGGTAAATGCCCACTAGTGGAATTACCAGAGCAAACGGTGATCCTATCGTAATATCTTGAGTACGCTCCGCAGTGTTTTCCACAGCAGCTGCCCCAGCTTGCGCACCCACCAACAGCGTCCTCGCCAGAACTTGTTGCTTCCTGAGTTTTTGATTGTAGCCGTTCCCACAGGGCTCAGCTGGTATCTCTTTGTCGTGGTTTTGACTTGTATTCCCCTGACGACGAGCGGCGTGGAACTGTTTTCCTGTCTGTGTTTTCCATCTGTAATCTTCTACGCAGAAGTGCCTATCCAGGTCATGTTTTAATTGGGTTATTTTGTGTTGAGGTATCTAAGTTCCTTGTATATTTTGGATATTAAGGCTTTATTGGATCCGTCATTTACAAATATCTTCTCCCATTCAGTAGGCTTCCTTTTTGTTCTGTTGATGGTTTCCATTGCTGTGCTGAAGCTTTTTTACTTTGGTGCAGTCCCAAAAGCTTAATTTTGCTTCTGCTTCCCTTGCCAGAGGAGACACACCTAGAGAAATGTTTTCACGGCTGATGTCAAATAAATTATTGCTTGTGTTTTCTTCTAGGGTTTTTCTGGTTTTAGGTCTCACATATAGGACTTTTGAATATCTATTTTTGAATCCATATACATTTTGGATAATCATTTTACTTAAAAATACTTAAAAGAAATAGATATCAGAATTACTTTTTTATTTTATTTTTTTATTTTTTAAAAGATTTTATATATTTATTCATAAGAGACACAGACAGAGAGGCAGAGACACAGGCAGAGGGAGAAGCAGTCTCCCTGTGGGGAGCCTGATGTGAGACTCGATCGCAGGACCCCAGGATCATGCCCTGGGCTGAAGGCGGGCCCTTAAACACTGAGCCACCTGGGCGTCCCTCAGAATTACTTTTAAATTAGAGAATCCTTTTCACTTTTTAAACCTCATTGATATTATCACAATAATTCCAAAAAGTCCTTTTCTTTCAGTTTATTTGCACATAGTATTGGTAAATTACTGATAGAAGATTCAAAGAGTTTTTTGTAACCTTTGGATATGCCTAATTCAATTAAAATAAACTTGTATAGAATTTACTTCTTAATTTTCTTTTAAATAAGTAAAATTATTTATTGATATCATTTTGGAAAAGCTGTGATTTCTCTAGCTAAACTTCCAGGCTCAATAAATCAATCAATGGGGTCCATTCTGATGGTGGTTTACCGTGATGGATGTTCATACTTGAAGAAGAGGAGTTCTAACTTTGTAAAATTCATTTCAGATATTATTGTACCTTTCAGCAAGTATGTGTGTGTGTGTGTGTGTGTACTCACATACATTAAATTTTGCTTCTACTTTCAGCATATTTGGAGACCCCTTGAAGCCCTCTCCAGGAGGTTGACCACCACCTTCACTAACGTCATCACTGTTGTTCATTTGTAGCTACTGCTCCTTATTAGGTAGTTATTGTAATTGTAGGCCTTCTCCTAAGAGCAGGAAGAGACTATGTCCCTTGAGATCATTAAGCACGTGTCTAAACAGTATTAACACAGTCTGCATACAAAAGCTACATGCCTATAAATCCAGGAACATACAGAGTATATTACATAGGTGTGTTTCAAAGGGAAGAAGGGAATGAAGGCATTTGATTTTCTGGTCATTTGTGTCCAAGCTGGTTTTCAATGACTCAATTCTATGTCAAGTTTCTTGAGGGCTATTATATGTAGTATTTTTCTATGTGTTTGCTCATTTACTTGATGAAGAATTTCCATCCAAATGAACTGTGCAACGTTGTGTAGGTGATTTAGCTCTTCCCATCACAACGTCACTGCAAGATTGCCCATGGCCCTGAAGTGTGAGGCTACCAAATCCATTGTAGATGTGTGATCATCCTCCTGTGACCATGTGGGTAGTAGAGGAAAGTACCTGCAATAATAGGTACTGGCTTCTGTTTTGCGCAGCAAGATCCGTTTCATATAAAAAGTTCTTACCATTGAAAGCCAATATAAAAAAGAAAGAAAGAAAGAAAGAAAGAAAGAAAGAAAGAAAGAAAGAAAGAAAGAAAGAAGAAAGAAAGAAAGAAAGAAAGAAAGAAAGAAAGAAAGAAAGAAAGCCAACATGATCCTATCCCTTGAGAAAAAAATTGTTGATGTAAATATGTTTCTTTTCTAGCGGTTACGTGTCCCAACATTGAAGCTCAGCTCTCAGAACATGTCACCTGGAGACTGGTTTCGGGATCGCTGAGTGAGTATGGAGCTCAGGTGGTGCTCAGCTGCAGTCCTGGTTATTACCTGGAGGGCCAGAGGCTCGTGCAGTGCCAAGCTAACGGGACTTGGAGCATCGGCGAAGAGAGGCCAAGGTGTCGAGGTGAGTGATGGGGTCCTTCCTAGAGAATGTACCCATGCTGAGTTATTGACATCACTGGCAACCACCTTTTAACCCATCCCTGTAAGTGGTTGGTCCTGTGGATTAATAATACAACCAAATGGCCTTTCTTGTCATTATAATGATGAATATGGATTTTTATGCAACATGCTTAAAATATATGAGCGTACTGGATTAAATGTCAAATATTGTCTTTTCCTTACTAATGATTGCATTTTGTACATTTTAAAATATTAGAATACTCAAATATTACAAATCAGCTCAAAAACAAACCCAGGCCTATGTTTAAAAAGATAACTCTTGTTCCATGCTCTGACTATTCAAACCTTCTAATTAGGATCTTGGGAAGCAGTATTTATGCTGAAGATATTGTATGCTCAAATAATGACTGTCTTGAAAAGGGGGGTTATTATTCTCATAGGTACAAGAAGAGCAGTTAAGCCTTTGCATGGGTTTCATAATAAATATGAATAAATAGAAAAATGAAACAATATTAGTGTTGTTCAGAGCACTATTTAATTCTGGTTTATTTAACACACACCCTTTAGTGGGTTGTTCCCAGGAAGTTACCATGCGCAAACACAAGTGGTTAAACCAGTGTCAAATGTACAAAGTACACAGCCTAGTGAGAATAAACCAGAAGAAAATCAGGAAAAAGGACAAAAGAATTAATGCTTTGCTGTCTTTGATATAATCATTCTAATTCAGCTGTTAGAGGAACCAATGATCCCTGAGCAAATACTGAGCTCTTCACCATGAGCACGAAGGTAGATTATGAAGAGTCCACGGACTTCAGGAGCCTGCTCACAGTCAAGGTGGAAGCACCCCGGGTCCCCAGGCCACCTTGCCTGGAGCCGGTTCTCCAGAGAAACTATCGGTGGTTCCCCTTGTCATGCTCACAGGTGTCCTGGTTTGAGTCGTTCTGTGGTCACTGGACTTTAGTGCATTTCCAGGCTGTCCCTCCCTGTCTGAGTTAGGAATCCCCTCCTTCCCACACCCACACCCACACCCATCGTCCTCAGAGCGATCTGCCCTGAAGCTCAACCTTTGTGATTAAAGACACAGTCAGCAAGGTCGGCAAGGAGAGTGGAGGAGAAAGATTGGGGAGCCTCGGCCTGTTGCCTGTCTCACACTTCTCTGGCCAACGTCCTTTCGCTCAGTTTCCGGAATCCGAGTCTTAAAAATAGGCACACATTTACTTCTTGGCGGTGGGGAGCTCACGCAGGGTTTCTGCGGATGCAATGGCCCGGTCTGGTTTTTGCTCATCTCGCTAGCTGTCTGGGGCACTGGGGTGGATCGTGTCAGGGATGGGGGGTATTTGCCACGCCCCACCCTTTATACTAAGGGCTCAAATCTCCATTTCGGAAGAACTGACTCTTCTAAGGAGACTCTCATATTTCAACCATCAGGCCTTCCTGATTGTGGAAGCAAACTCTGTAGCAGCAAGTTTCCACCTTCCTTTGGGGGAAGAAGACAAAGCTGGGGTTCCAGCATCCATAAATTGTATTTTTGCTCCATCCTCCTGAAATTCTGGAAAGTTTGTCTCTCTGACTCTAATATTAGACTTCAATCTGGTGATTCCAATACTGAGTTTGGTCCAGGAACAGCCAGAAATCCACGTAGGTGGGGCATGGCACACAGATGTATTTTGTAAATTGTCATCTGATCGTTGGTTGGCTTTGCTTAGCGTGAGTTGTTCTATCACACTCTGTTACTTGTCTCTTGAAAGTCATCATGGACATGGGGCCTATTCCAGAATCAGTGGGGTCTGTGAAATCATGGCTTGCTATTTGTGTGTGTGTTTATTCTGTTTATTTATTTTATTAATTTTTTAAATGAATTTTGGCAGTTTACAACATCATGGTGTGGCCAGAGTGAGTCCCTTCTCCCTGGCTCCTTCATCTTGTCCTTTTGACATCTTTAAATCTGTCCCTGTTTTCTCATAAAGACAGGATGTTTTATGCTCACTCTGAGTTTTTTTCTTACCTAAACATGGAATCAACCATTTTCCAAGGATTACAGACCAGCATGTGTGCCCAGGGGTATGCATTATGTTGTTTGTGTTATCAATGAGCAGTGAAAGTTGATACCAAAGCTTATTATCACTTTTGTGACCAAACTGAACTTTTTTTTTGTTTTCTTCCCCAAAAAGACTTGATACTGATATTTCAATTAATTTGTATATCTATTGATTTTTTGCAAGTTTTTCATTAATAAAAGAGCTTATCAAAGATGTTCTTCTCTTTTCAGAAACATTGACATGTCACAAGAGCTAGCACAATGCCTAACATTGTGTTCAGATTGTGGTGCGATCTAAAATCTTGGATGTCTCCGTCGCCCATCCCCAGTTCTCTATTTGGTTTAAATGTTGTGGAAGTGATTTCAGAGAACAGAAGCCTAGAAAGCCCCTTGCCAATGTCATTCTGTAAAACTCTGTGGGATGTATACCCCAGCATCTTTGACGGTGAAGTTCTCAAGATCTTTCATCCCAGGCACCTCATAGTGCTAAACATTGCTGAGGACCTGCCTTCATTCTCTGTTGCTGTAGAACCAGTCATTGCAAACATAATGTGAACAACATAGATTTGTTATCCAGGGGCAGATGTTTGGCACTTTTTAACTGGATCCTCTACTACAGGCTGAGATCAAGGTGTTGGCTGGGCTGTGTCCTTATCTGGAGGCCCAAGTGGGAAGATGGGCCTCCCAGTACTGGTTTGTTGATGAAATTCCTGTCCATGCTATTGATGTCTGAGTCCTCCATTGTGGCTGATTGTGGACTGGGAAGTGCCCAGGAGCCATGTGTAGCTCTTTCCAAGGGGGTCCCACCCCTCCAGGCCCTCCTGTGATTCAAATCTCTGGCTCCAGGAAGGTCTCAGTTCCCTTAAGGGCTCCTTCCCTGAGTCAGTCCCAACAGATAATCTCACTTTGGTTTGCTTGAAGGATACATTCATGACCTCATCATGGTTCTACCAGCACCAAAGGGAGTGGATTTGACATAAGGGGGGGCTAGACCACAAAGACCTTTTCAAAATGTTTAACATAAATTCAAATCAAGAATTATTTTAATATATTTATACTAATTCGTTTAAATTTATATGGAGAAAGAACTTTATTTATTTAAATAGCAATAAGATAATTACACCTTACATAATACCCTGCTTCTATAAACAGTAATGACTAATTATTAACAAAAAATAAAGGGAAAAATTTTAGAGCCTTAAGACATATATAATATTTTTTTGGGTTCTATAAAAAAATAAAAATAAAGGTATGTTTTTGTCATTATTGTTATAATACATTTTTATTTTATTTTATATTTAAAATCTGATTAAATTGCACTTATCTTCTATTTCCCTACCTTCCCAGCATACACTCAGAAAAACCCAAAATGAATCCTAGAAGTAGAATACTTTACAATTAAATAGATGCATGATAAGCCCCACAGTGTTCAAATGCTACTTAATTTCTCACTTAATTTAAAATGACACACTGGTAAGCTTGATTTGCCATTCTGTGGTAGCTTTGTCAACTGTGTATTTAAGGAGTTCTCTCTTTAAATTAGAGGAGTTCTCTCTTTAAATTAGACCCAGATTAAATGGTGGAGTAGGCAGGTTGGTCTTTGACAACCTTCTGTTTCTGACTGGGGGTGCACCTGGATGATCAATATGTTCTCAAAATGAATTATTTGCTTTCCCTTTCCCCCTTCCATTAAAAATGTATTCATGCACACAGCATATGGGAATATTTGTCCATCACTCTGTTTTATCTGCCATAAGAAACTGCAGAAAGACATTCTCACCCCATCCCGTATTGGAGTGGACCTTGACCATCATTCAGAACAACATAAAGTAGAGTTTTCTTCAGAATGTACTCACGAATAAATGCCCAGTTGGCATTAAATAACTCTAGAGAGACACTCAGGACCCCAGGGGCAGTTGATTGCATGTTTGAATATTTTCACTTTGAGCAAGGCCTTCTTTTTGACCTATATTCCGGTTTCTTGGCTTCATTCCTCTGGGCCTGAGACAGTGATTCCAGACTGTGGTCTCCAAAACAGGTCTTCACATACCTACAAAGGATCATGTGTCCTTTGACTTTGTATCATGGTAACCATCCTGGCCCCATGCTTATGCACGTCACATCATGAGCTCATGTCCACCTGCACCTTCAGTAGACCCTTTCCACATAGAGTGTTTTTGAAAGTCCCTACTCTTGATCTTCTATTTATTTGCCATATGCACTAATAATATCCATATAATATCCAATTATATGGATCCAATAATATCCAATTCGAATAGGAACACTGGTCTTACCGGTATGAGAAATGCTATGTCACAATGCGATGTTTTTTTCCAAGTCAAGGATTTCAGCTTGAATGCACTGCTAGAAATGAAGACAAGAGGAAGGAGGCTTCCCTGGGGAGAGAGACACATGGCTCGTGATCCCTGATAGCAGTGAGAGCCGGGGGGGTGGGGGCAGGCGGGGTGCCTCCAGCCGAGCATCCTCTGTGTGACAGCGCAGAGGAGACACTTGAGACCGTGTGCGTGAATATGTTTTTAATGGAAAGGAAAAGGGCAAACAATTCATTTTGAAAACTTGAAGGGAGAAAAGAACAGGGAAATGAGGTTTTACCTTGGATGTTTGATGTTTGACAAAGTGTGTGTGCATGTTTGTGTGCATGAGTGTGTTGGGAATTCTCCCTTTCAATTAGAGTAGCTTTTCTAAATTAGAGCTGCTATCCTCGTTACTGTATTGGGTTTCCTGCCTCCACCATCTGAGGCCCCAGTATCCAGCTGCTGAAGAGCTAAGAGTTTACTCTATTAGTTCTTCTTTACAGTCTAGTGAACCTTCGTGGAGGACAGACCTAAAACATTTTCACTCCCAGGATATGTTAGTAGAGGCTGAAAGAATAGGACAGAGGCAAAGCAGCCCGAGCCCTCCACTTCCACTGACGGTGTGTTAAGACCTCTAAGGAGAGGTGCTCAGGCCTCCTTGCTGAGGTTAACACATTTCTGACCAGTGCGGAAGTTTCAAACCATGGTCCCGTGATCCTAAACAGCTATGCGTGGATCTCTAAATACCATAACTCAAGGTGAAGTTCACAGTATGTTTGGCAAAGGCCCAATGAAAAGTTAGTAATAAATTGTAAAAAATATATATATATATATATATATATATATATATATATATATATTATATATAATATATATATATATAATTCTTTTGGAATTCATTAACATTTAGTACAGTAAACATGTTAGCAATAGTACCAAATGCATGGGATATAACCATATTAGAGGTTAGGGACCCCAGAAGCTAGTAAGTCAACAACGGTAACATTCTGATCACGACCTACGCCAGAGCTGAACTATCTGAGTTCTGGTGAGCAGCACACCCCCCGCCCCACCCCCAGACACACACCACTTGGCCGTGTCGGTCTGTTTGAAATGGAACCACAGTTATGAACCTCAGAGGTAAGATCAGCCCAGTTCAAAAGGCCGATCTAAATGGCACACCCATGAACTTTGTCTTCACTCAAGGTATCAGTAAAGGTGTTCACACTGATTCAGCTCAGACTAGCTCAGGGGGCACTCGGTGCTTGTCTCACGGAGCTGAAGAATGAATCCCGTGGACACAGGAGCATGAGTAAAGGAACAGAAGTTTACTAAGCAAAGATACAGAGAGAGCTCTCAGGGAAGAGAGGGGTCCCGACAGGGCTGCCACTGAGGGCCTTTTATTGGGAACCTAACCAGGGAACCCAAGGCCCTGAGATGTCTTTGTGCTGTCTCAAGTGATTGTCATATGGCTGTTCGGGGGTCTGGTGAACCTTCAGGATTGTCTGGTAACCGTCAGAGGAAGATACTCCCTAATACCTCAGAGCTAGGAGCCTAGTTTACTTTCTTCTCTGTTTTTATTGTCTTATCTCTGTTTCCTTGGGATGGGTAGGAGCCTGACTCTGGACCATTTGGTGTCCTTGGGATTTATGGGACCCCGACTCTGGGCCTTTCCCTTATCTTTCCCTGCCTAGCCCCAGCTATCCATAACTCATTCCTACACCAGGAGCTCCCAGATCTACCTCGCGCTAGTAAACCCTGACTGAGCCCTGATCCCCTGCAAGTCATTGTGCAACTATTTGCGTGTGTCCTCTCTTTGAATCCAGTGCATAATTCTGCGTGGCAGGTCCATTATCAGTTCTTAGAGAGGAACTAATGAGAGCCTAGAGCTTTGGAGGAGGTAAAGGTATAGATAAGGTTGAACCTGAGTAGCCTACAGCCAGAATCCAGGTTCTTAATCACGGTTTTACTGCCTCTGATCAGTTTACTATTCCTAGAAACTCTATAATTTTTAGCTACTTGCCACCTTTGCCCTGAGCCCCTTGTGCATGATAGTGCACTTAGTGTGGCAAGAACTCCTTCACCATCTTCTTAGAGTAGCCTTCAAACACGTAAGTCTCTGCAAAGCAGTCAGCCATGATGACTTTACGGTTTCTTCTTCTTTCTGAGATTCCATAGACTTTCTGTGCTCAAACATTTCTGGGTTTGGAGAGCGGGGAGTTGAGTGTTGCAGTAAGTAGCAATAATGAATGTGATCACTGACTATATCTCCCCAACTAGAGTCAAGTTGTGGTTGAAAGTGGACTCTGTTAATGATCAGGCTGGGAAAACAGGTGTATGCAGGGGATGTGCGGTTTCCCCAGCTGCAACCACTGAAGGCCTGGATTTTCTATTTCTTTTTTTTAATTTTCAGAAAGGCTCCACATGTCCCACATAGTCAGCATTTATATGGAGCGCAGGATCCCAGGGAAGCATGTAGGTCATTGAAAGCAACAACGAACTCAAGCCTTCCATTGAAGGCATCCTCCTCAGTTTTGTGTGGCAGCTAATTGACTCGCAGAAGACCACTCCTGTTCCTTAATTCCTCCTGGCCACACCCGTGTCCGATGATGGTCACATGATTCTCATGGTTGACGCACACAGGAGGGCGGGCAGGCAGCCCGTGCCTTTGACCAGCCTGCGTATATGATTATGTCTACACACCACATGGTTTTGGAATCTGCTCTGCATGCTCACATTCTCAAGTGTAGGAGAAGGAAAATTAAGCTTCCTGTGTGGGTGACCTACCTAACTCTAAGCAGATCCCTGCCCCTAATAAACATCAAGACTGCAGATTTTGTCATTTTTAAGCAAAAGAATAATCTGCACTTTTTGTTTCCTTCTAGTGATCTCATGCGGAAGCCTCTCCTTTCCCCCAAATGGTAACAAGATTGGCACACTGACGGTTTACGGAGCCACAGCCATATTTACGTGCAACACGGGCTACACCCTTGTGGGGTCTCATGTCAGAGAGTGCTTGGCAAACGGACTCTGGAGTGGCACGGAAACTCGATGTCTGGGTAAATTCATCTATCATCTGGCATTTATTTCATTCATGTGAGCCCTAAAAATATAGTGCAGTTGGGCAAAGTGTAACACTTTTTGTTATAAATGCTCCTGTAGAGCTACTAAATCCTACCTCGGGTTTCAATGGTCCACTTCACACTAGGACTTCTTCCATAAGTATCTGAAGGGATCTATTTTTAAATCTGACCAATAAATGAAAGTCCCATACTGCCTTAAGTGACTTAACTATTTTACAGAGTGCTGAGGCTATCACTGTACTTAATGCCATCATGATTCTAGAACACACACACACACACACAATGATATTCATATATATTACAGACTTTATCTTTTACAACTTTTTAAATTGTGTCAGTAAGTGGAAGAGAATAAGATCAATCAATGTAAGTACAATGAATTACTTCAAATGGAATGTGTGTACAGTGATTTGTTCTTCCTTTGCACCCAAGGCGTAAATTATCTGCATGATATTTTTTAAGAATTGAATTGAAAATTTTTTTCATTGAAAAAATCTTGTGAATAGACATGAGGAAGTTGTTGGATAGGCAGTGTAAGGTATTTTGATTCATAATGCTCCTTTAGATCTCTGAGTAATTTGAAAAACATGTCAGGTGCCTTTCATCCTTTGACCTCTTTCTGGGATCTCAGTAATTTTGATCACTCAAAAGCTATAGAACCTGGAAAGTTTAAGCCTCTGACTCTCTGTCAGCTGGAATCACTTCAGGAATGAAGCCAGGACCAGTAAATTTTTAATAGTAAAAATCTATTCTTATTATTTGAGATAATTTGAAAAAATACTTAGGAGAACCGGGTGGGGGGGGCAGAGAGAGAATGAAACTAAAGTAGTAATTCTGGAGAAAATCAATGGCCACAAAGTGTTGCTCCCTCTTATCCATGGAACGGCACCTGCTTTCTTGAAATCACTGTCATCCCGACGTGAAAGCTGCTCACGTACTACGTGTGTGTCTACACACATTCTTGGTGAGCGTGGTCAGTACGGTCTTCCGTAGACTGCAGAACTTCCTCGGGCTATGTGTGGGCTTTGCGTTGAGGGTGGCTAGCGCTTCTGAGACTGTCTGTGCTTTCCCAAACTTTCTTATGAGATGTCTGGTTATTGGGTACCACTCTTCTTAAGGCAGTGCTATTTTGGGGTAGGTCTTCTCTGTTCATGTCAGCAAACACTACAGAGGGGAACCAGGTGATCTAAGAAACTTGCGTCTCTGCTATGATCGTGATGATGGAAAGCAATGACAACCTACATTTGATTAGGTTTGTGCTGCTGAGTAGTCTCTTTAGGTAGGAGAGTTATTGTGGCCTCAGGGGGTTTGAGTGGCACGTCCAATTTCTGTAGCTACTCTATCATGGGGTCTGCTGGGGTCTTACTGATCCCAAGTAATCCTTCACCTTTTCTGTGGTGTCTTCTGACCGAAGGTAGGACTTTGAAGTAGAAACGTTGAGCAAGGGACACCTGAATGGCTCAGTAGTTAAGCATCTGCCTTTGGCCCAGGGCGTGATCCTGGAGACCCGGGGTCAAGTCCCGCATCGGGCTCCCTGTATGGAGCCTGCTTCTCCGTCTATGTCTCTGCCTCTCCCTGTGTCTCTCATTAATAAATAAATTAATTCTTAAAAAAAAAAAGAAAAGAGAGAGAGAAAAAAACATTGAGCAACATGTTGCTTGGATGGCTGGGCCAATGTGCCCAGAAGTATGGCTTCAGTGTGATTCAGTATGTCTTAGAGGCTTTGGGGAGAGGGAGTTTTCAGAAGGAGTTTAAATTGAAAATAAAGAGGATGAAACGTGTCTGGAAAATAATGCATAAAGCATTACTATTGTAGAACCTGGATCTAAAATATAAAGAATAATAACATTGAAAGAGGCAGAGGATATGAAAGAAAAACTATTAAAAAAGAATTAGATGTGACACAGAGCCACATATGTTTATAAACCAATGAGTAAAGAATGTGTAATAAATTTAGCATAAAGATTTCAGAAGTCAGTAGATACAGTTTCACAGCGACCACTGAGACGTGAAAGTTTAATTCCTAATACAGGCGTACCTTGGGGAGATTGTGGATTTGGTTCTAAAACACAATAAAGCAAATGTTGCCATAAAGTGAGTCCAATGACTTTTTTGGTTTCCCAGTGCATATAAAAGTCATGTTTACACGATAATGTGGTTTATTAATGTGCAATAGCATTGTCTGAGAGATGTGTATGTCTTAAGTCAAAAGTAGTTTATTGCCGAAACCTGCTAACCACCACCTGAGCTTTCAGTGAGTTGTAATCTTTTTGCTCGTGGAGGGTCTTGCTTCAGGTTTCAAGGCTGCCAGCTGATCAGGGTGATGAGTGCTTGCATTGGGGAGGCTGTGGCAATCTCTAAAAATAAGACGACACTGACCTTTGCTGCACTGATTGACTCTTCTTCCACAGTGTCTCTGTGGTATGCAAGGCTGTTTTATGGCGTTTTACTCCCAGTAGAACTTCCAAAGTGGAGTCAATCCTCCCAAGCCCTGGGGCTGCTTTATCAACTAAGTTTATGTGATGTTTTAAATCCTTTGTTGTCATTCCAACAATCTTCGCAGCATCCTCTGCAGGAGTGGATTCCATCTCAGGAAGCCACTTGCTTCGCTCATCCCTAAGAAGCAGCTCCTCATCTATAAGTTCAAGTTTGATCGTGAGAGCACAGCAATGCAATCTCATCTTCAGGATCCACTTCTGATTCTCGTTCTCTGGCTCCTTTCACCCCATGGGCAGTGACTTCCTCCAGGAAGTCTTGGACCCTCAGAGTCATCCATGAGGGCTGGAATCTGTTTCTTCCAAACTTCAGTTTCTGTTGATATTTAGACCCCTTTCCTATGAATTGTGGGTGTTCTTAACGGCATCTAGAATGGCGAGTCCTTTCTGGAAGGTTTTCAGTTTACTTTGCCCAGATCCATGAGAGGAGTCATCATCTGTGGCAGCTGTAGCCTTATGAAATGCATTTCTTCAATAATAAGACTTGAAAGTTGAGATGATTCCTTGATCCATGGGCTGCAGGATGGATGCTGCATTAGCAGACATGAAAACCACGTTAATCTCATTGTCCGTCTCCCTCAGAGCCCTTGCGTGACCAGGTGCACGGTCAGTGAGCAGCGGTATTTTGAAAGAAATCCTTTTCTCTGAGCATTTGATCTCCGCAGTGGGTTTCGTATTCAGTGAAGTGCTTGTAAACAGATGTCCCGCCACGCAGGCCGTGTTGTTCCATGTATGGGGCACGGGCAGAGTAGATGTGGCATCATTCCGAAGGGCCCTGGGACGTTCAGAATGGTGGGTGGGCCCTGGCTCCCATCTGCAGTCCCCAGCTGCGTTACCCCTCGCAGGAGAGTCCGCACCTGTCCTTTGCAGCTTTGAAGCCAGGCTCTGACTTCTGTCCGGCTGTGAAAGTCCCAGATGGCATCTTCTTCCAACAGAAGGCTGTCGGGTCTACACTGAAGATCTGGGCTTGAGCGTAGCCTCCACCTTCCTGAACTCTTGAGCCTTCCGGAGGACCTGCTGCAGCTTCTCCATCAGCCCCTGCTGCGTCACCTGTGCTTTCACGTGGTGGAGGAGGCTTCTTCCCTCAAACCCGCTACCCAGCCTCTGCTGCTTCAGATGTTTCTTACAGCCTCCTGCCCTCTCCCAGCCGTCCTAGAACTGAGAGCTCAGACCTTGTTCTAGACTAAATTTTGGCGTAAGGGAATGTTGTGGCTGATTTATTCTTCTATTCAGACTACTCAAACTTTGTCCATATCAGCAATAATAAGGCTGTTTCACTTTATTATTATTTGTGTGCTCATTGAAGCAGCATTTTTAATTTTCTTTGAGGATTTTTCCTTCACACTCACAACTTGGCTAGCCATTTGGCACAAGAGGCCTTGTTTTTGGCCTGTCAAGGTTTTCACCATGCCCTCCTCAGTAATATTAGTCATTTCTAGGTTTTGATTTAAAGTGAGAGATGTGTGACTCTGTCACTTGAAACCTTAGAGCTCATTACAGGTTATTAATTCCCCGAATTCTAATATCGTTCTATCTGAGGGAGTAGGAAAGCTGGAGGAGAGTGGGTGAGACAGGGGAATGGCTGGTCAGTAGAGCGTTCAGAACATAAGCAACACGTATGACGGAAGCTCATGGTCTCGTATGGGTATGGCTGGTGGTGCTCCAGGCCCATTACAACAGTAACAGCGAGGATCACCGAACGCAGATCACCGTAACAATTCTAATACTAATGAAAAGTTTTTAAATATTATAATTACCAAAATGATACATAGAGACATGAAGTGAGCAAATCTTTTGGGAAAAAAAATGGCACCAACGTACCTGCTCAGTGCAGGGTTGTCACAACCTTCATTTTTATAAACATGCAATATCTGCAAAGCACAATAAAATGAGGCATGCCTGTGCATGGACTATGGCAATGAAAGGCATCTCCTCTCCTGAATAATAGAGTGTGATGTGTAGATAATAGAGAGTCACTCGTAGGACCCTATGTCCGGGGGACCCATAGAGACACAGCTAAGGCAAACACACAGGTAACAGAGAACAGAGGTAAACTCAGTGCTAGAGAAAATCCTACAGTGGCCTAATGGATGAAGGGAAGGGAGGCTCCAATCTGGCGCGGGTACTGGATAAAGTAGATAGCTAATACCACCGTAGTCTGAATATTACCTAGACACCTTATTTGAATATAATAATTTGAATGATATTGTTTAGTGATAATCAAAAATATACAAGGCATTTTTCCATTTTACCGAATCTTCATTAGAAAGTATGGGAAGCACTTATCACTCCCTTTCATCAATAAGAAATAACTTAGAACAATTTAGGAATTTGTCTAACGTTGTAAAATCACTGGCATCACAAACCGATTGGAAACCCAGGCAATTTGACCATAGAACACAGGCTTCTTAACTTTAGGGTATGTAACTAGTGTATCTGAGCAAGTTTTGTGTTATTTTGCCGATAATTATATTTCTCAAA